ACTCAACATCTCGTCAGACTTCGCAGTGCAGATATGAAATCAATGTCTCGTCTTTGTGATCCAGCGGAACACCTCTATAAGGCAAAACATCCATAGGCTAGTCATATATTGAAAAGGACAAATGACAGATGGACACTGAGAACTCCGGAATGATTTCTCGCGAAGCAAAACGTCTTCGAGGGATGCCGCCGACCATGTGGGCTGACGGTTCGTTTTACGGATAGACCAGCTAAATTCTCAGCTGGTAACGAGTAATGGATATGGATCTCGCGAACGCCGCCGCTGCAGTTCAGTACCAACATCGTGGATGACGCAAGCGAGAGACAAAAACGGATGGAAACAATGCTGGGGCCTGCGACGGAGACAGGCCATCTAAGTATCTAAATAAGTTCAATTATTTCCTGATATTTTTAGTAATCAGATTCAATCCGTAAATTCGTTTTTACACGTCTTATCCATTCTTCACTTTAGCAGTTTTCCTTTGTAAAATTTTTAAAATAAAACTTCAAAATATATCTGTGGCCCTTTCACACTTGTGAGCGATTTTCAATGCAGTGAAATCGCCACAATATATGAGAGACTTCCTTGGATTTATTTGATATGAAACCATCAGAGATTAGTTAATCAACTAGCTCACTAATAAGTAATTGTCAAAACTCACCAGAACTATGTTTTTACATAAATGAAGGTTGGTTAAGTGAACTAGTAAGATTTTAAAAAAATCAATTGGCGTGACATTCTAAATGGTTACTACACTATCTAAAGATCAGTACAGGGTCTTTTCTGGGCACCTCCACACACGCAAGAGGTCTATTGGCGATGGAGGAAGGTTATACTTGGCCCTTTCCGCGGCTTTCCAACAAACTTCATGGGGGTGGGCAGGCCCATGAAGGGCACTGTACTGAATGTAACCCAAACTAATACTGTGAAACTGTCAATAAAGCTGGTAATGATATAAAATAAGGGTGCTGAGATGTATTGGGAGACAGAGTGAGTGGAATGGAATAGCTGCACTATAATGGAGCTGGATACATGAATGACACAACACGATGAACTTAAATGAAGATCGGGTATTCAGGGCAATAGGTGATTATAAGTGGATGTTTAAAGACAAAAAAAAGAGTTAAAATCTATGATTCAGATAGGTATTGCTTATACAATTTTTCAAGTTCCTCATTCTCAAACATCGGCACAAAGTTGACGTGAACTATCGAGTCAAATCCCTCAGAAAGCTCGGGCTCCTAAAGGGAAAAATATTATGTAATTGTGGGATATCTTTTTGCGAACTAAGACGCGAAGGGTTTCAAACACATTAATTGATTGGCTATCATAAATAACTATATTATTGCATGATGTTCACTACTATATTAAACCTACTATTCTTAATTCAGAAATATCACCATGAGATATATTTTAGAGTTAAGCAAAAGCAGTTTTGAAAAACAACTGCGCTTGTGGTGTATTTGCACCTGACTTTACAAAGTCCAAGAGCCAAAGCATAATCATTAACTACGCGATCTTCTGTCGCGAAAAAGCGCCAAGTTGTAGCAAAAGCACGTTTTTCGAAGTTCGTCTCTCTAGGGCACCTGCTGGTGCATGGTTATTCGTGATAGCGAGAATTCCTAGCAACTCTGCCAGCTGATGATTTTGACAGTTAAAGGCGCGCCAAAAACTGCGGGTCGCGTTTCGCATTTCTAAGGACATACGGCAGTGGCGGATAGCGCCAAGGAACAACCATATATACCTATAATATGGACTAGCAACAAAAATGTTTAGGAGACAAAAGAAAGTCCCACATATTTGTCTGACAAAAGGCTTATCAGTTTTTCGTTCAAACTTATTGCTCTTGCATCGTACATCCAACGTCTTCAATCTGTATTTGATTTAAGTGCAAGCGCACAGCACGCAAGTGAAAAAAAAAACTCCTTGAATTGTGCCTGTTTGCAGTTACAAAAATATTCACGTTATGAAGTATTATTAGTACTTGAAACATATCAACAAAAGGTCATATTTCTGTTTCTGTTTTCCTAATACTAGAAGGTTGTACTGACACCATAATATAATGATAATCACAACGGGACCGTAATCTTGCCTACAGATGCCTTTACAGTCTATTAATTACCTGATATTTGTTGGCATACGTCCGCAACACCATTATCGTAACCTCATTCTTCACTTCTTGAGTTAACCTTCGGAATTTGACATTGTGCATAGCTTGATGAATATTGCAGGTCAACTCAAAACATCGGCATGGCACCTTCATTTCGCGAGCCAATGCAATATAGCGACTCCTAGACAGTGCTTATATATGAAACAATCTTACTAAGAAACACTAACGTGGGGAAAAAACACACCTTGACTCTTTATCCGGACTTGTGTTGTCTACAACAACGCTCTTCCCATCTCTCAAGTACACCCTGGCTCTTTCACAGCATTTTTGCCATGTGCCGAGGGTGTCTCGATTGACTACCATATACCCATGTTCTTTTTCAAGCATGTGGGCAAAGGTTGACTTGCCCGATCCAGGAAAACCAACGATCACAATGACTTCCTTGGTAGACGATGGTAAAGGAGCGTCTAGATATATGGTTTCAAATTCAAATTAATAACTGTTGCAATCCAACCTCGGCATACGGTAACCAAACTAACTCATAGCTAAGATGATTTTTACCTTCAGGCTCCAGCAATTTCTTTTTCTCATCCAGATATGCTACAGGATCAAATGAAGGAGGACCCCAAGGCTCCGCTGTTTTCTGGTTGAGGAAGAACTCCTCAGGAGTGTGAAAGGCAATGCCCACATTTGAAGCAAAAAAGCGATCAGCGCAGGAATGATCCTTCTTGGGACGAGTCT